GCTGGCTTCCACTGCATGTTTTATATTCAGCCCCTCCCAAATGCAGCCCTGCCAATATTAAATCAAAACTCCAGTCTAATGCAACAAGATCAATATTAATATCACGATTGCGATATACTCATAACATAGACCACTTCATATTTCTTTTTATTGCTAGTGGGGTGGGACCAAGTCCCTTGCACTGCGGCCACTTCTGACCTACTGTACCAGCCCCAGATGATAGGTGAGGGTGATTGTGGAGCAATTTGTGGAATGAAGATTGGCAGGTGAAACCGAAGTACTCGGAGAAAACCTGCCCCAGCGCCACTTTGTCCACAACTTGACCGGGATCAAACCCGGGTCGCCGCGGTGGGAAGCCAGCGACTAACCGCTTCAGCTATGACGCGGGCCTTAGGCTGGGGCCACATGAGCGCACAAAATGCGTCCGTTGTAACGAACGTCGTGACGTCCGTTGTAGAAATAAACAAGAGAGGCGAATGTTACGCTTCATTTTGGCTCAATTTCAGACAAAAAACTACGCAACGCATTCTGCAACTGTGTGGTGTCCTCAGCAACGTACGTCATAAAGTACGTTCGTTACAACGGACGCATTTTGTGCGCTCATGTGGCCCCAGCCTAAGTCCACTTCCTAACTCACTACTCTCTTCAGTTCCCAATGTTTTTTCCTCTCTCAAACCTACCTCTATCGCAAGGACAAGCGAGCACTAGGTACTTTGAAAGGAGGACGATGTTTCTGCTCCCCTCCCCTTAAAATACAGTGTCTCTGATTACTCTCTACAGCCATCAGAGCTAAATGTATTCGTGTGAGAGAAACAAATTTATATTCGTATGTTGTTTGAAAAGGTAGATAATTACGAGAGTGTGTGCAGACTGTCAGAAAAGGGGAGCGGGCAATGTTAGGACAACGAACCGTACAGCCGGAACTCCTGAACAGATCCTATCGGCTTATGCTAGTGCTGCAAGTTTCTCTGTACTGCGGTTCACACACTGATCAGGTTCTGCATTTCAGCAGCTCCTTTATTTTTCTTCGTTTCTTTCTCTTTGATTTTTACGTTCTATGCTTTTGTATAGGCTCCTTTTTATTTTTCTTCATCCCTCAGTTTCTTTCACTCGTTTGTTTATACCAGAATTTCTCGTTATTGAGCACTCTTCCATTGCAACTCCTGCCTGCTACAGTGCTTGTAGTATTGTATCGCTTCTGCCTTTCCTGCCTTTAGTTTTGCATCAGCGAGACTGGTTATGCTCATCCGAAGTTTTCATCATTTTTATATTTCTTTCCCGATTGTTAATTTTATTGCTAGACTTTTTTCCAGTTAATAATCTCGTCGCTGCTCTTTTGAACCTTTTTATTTCTTTCTTGCTTTGCTAATTTTATTTCCATTCCTTTACATTTTATTCAGTTCCATTTTGTTGCTCCTTACACTACGAATCCCATATTTCTTGTAAGATTTGAGGTTTTCACGGCGGTGACTATGAAGAAAGCAGTCTTCTGGGATGTGGCACCGCGTAGATGTGGTGTTAACCGACGTTTCGGAGGAACGTATCGCCTCCAACTTCAGGGTAGAAGGAAAAATAATAAAATCCTCAAGCGAAGAGACCGTGAGAACCGGTACAAGCAGACTCTCACGGTCTCTTCGCTTGAGGATTTTATTATTTTTCCTTCTACCCTGAAGTTGGAGGCGATACGTTCCTCCGAAACGTCGGTTAACACCACATCTACACGGTCCCACATCCCAGAAGACTGCTTTCTTCCTATATTTCTTGTTTACTTTCCTAGCTATATTTTCATCCATTTCTCTTTAATTTATTATTATCCCTCTTCTCTTAGTTCTCATCTTTTGCACTTCATTCCCGTTTATTTAATTTCTCTTCTACGCCTCTCTGCCCATTATTTTATTCCTATGCAGTCGATTTTACGTTGTGATTTGTTCCAACGGAATGAGAACCTCTTGTTTCGGAACCGGCTATTGGTATTGCTGTTGGTGTTTAACATGAATTAGCAGGCTGGAATCCTTCATGCTGTGTCTAAATTTTCTCTTATTAAATGAAAATTTTGGTCTGTAAAACGCTGATTTTTTAAGTAGAGCAGTGAACTGGAGGAGAATAACAACCACCAGCAGACATAAGCACCTACACATTGCAAAAAAGAGAGGCTAATTATGTGCGATTCCCCTATATGTGACTAACGGTTTCTGAATGACACATGCTCCTGTTGATAATTGTGTGCACTCAAGTAGGTTTCTTCTTCTCAGTGGAACATGCAAACAGGCAGTGCGCGTTGTCGGGCAATTGTAAGAATATATAGGGCAAAGCAATTTTCTGCTCCCTTTTTAGCCTATTTTCCTTATTTTGAAAAATAAAAGGAGGATTGTGAGATATCACATCCTGCCGGTGTGTCTGTATGTCCCCAAAGCCTGAAAATCAAAAAGTAGGGTCAGAATAGACGGCAGTTGCTAGGCAACAGATAAGTAAACACTTTCCCGTTGGAACGAATATACACGCAACAATAGAAGAACTGATGGACGCGCTGTTTTCTTTGCGATTCTTGTAGTATCAGTTACTCAATATGTAGCGAAAGTAAAGCAGGTGATTAGTTCTTCTTAGAATTTCTTGCCTTTTGATTTCTTTACTTTTAAGACTATCATGTTATTTTAAAATTGATCTTTTAACGCATCGCTGATGCTCTTCATAATCTTGTTTCATTATATCGATAAATCTCGAATCACTAAATCTTATAATCTTTGATCTTCTTCTTAATGTTATTTTTACAGTACTGTCTGTAGGTGAAAATCAAAACTGTTCAGTTATGTTCTCTAGCCTGTTATCACTCCATTCACTAATACTTTTCTTTGCGTTTTTCATTATTTATACTACTTATTATCCTATTTCAGTTCTTTCTTAATGATCCTTTCGTGCTGTCATACCTCAGTATATCTACATGTCCTTCACTCAACACGTTTTCAGGATACGCTACAAATTCAGCATGTGCCCCATTTCCTTTGCTCTTAATAGAAAGTTCTGTAAACTATTGTTTCATGTCCGTCTGTCGTCCTGCTCGTCACAACGCCCAGATCACTTGACATAATTTGACAAAACTCGGCACGTTAGACGTATACTGACATCATTTCTATTTAGGACGATTTTCTGAAGTCTTGAGGCAAAATCGGATATTCCAATCTGGCGCCAAATTCGTAAACGGGGTACGCTGGGTTCTCTAAAGGGAATATTTTTGTGTAGGTGTTGCAAGAAAATAAGGTCATGTTATTTTGAAAATTTGATGAAGCGGAGGGCGAAACTTGCAACATGCAACAGCACCAGCAAAGAATTATATAATTTATAGAAAGATGATTGATTCTTGAAAACTTGAATATGATTTTCTTCCGTAACATATTTTTACAACAATTCTCATGGTTGCAGTACAGTAATTCAACAATACCCAGCGAGGTTCCGTGATGTTTTCAATTGAAATACGTCAGTACAATTAATAAGTAGTTTACAAACTGTGACAAAAGAAAGATTTCTTGCAGCCATGTTTTATCAACTTATTAGCATCTAGTACTGTTTCTTTGTTAAACTGTTGCTGTCTTAATATTTTTATAACATTTTTTTTCCTTGGCACTACAGCCCCAGTGGGCCTAGGCCTACCTCCATGAACTCCGTTCACTTCGGTTTTTCTAGATCTTACACATATGCTAGGACTCCTTGGGCGAGTGATCAGCTCGTCACAAGGCCTCTACCTGTAGACAAACACAGAAAAACGCACACAAACATCCATGCCCTGAGTGGGATTCGAACCCACGATCCCAGCTTCCGAGCGAGCGAAGACAGTGCATGCCTTAGACCGCTCGGCTACCGTGACCGGCATTTTTATAACATAATTTGGAGATATTTATTACATATTGCATTATTTAGAATGTACAATTTTAATAGTAATATATTACTTGATCTATTTTGCGTATAAATGATTGTTCCCGAAAATCTTGGTTAATCTGTTAATGTTTTCTACGAATATTAATGCACTAAAGACCCAATTACATAGACTACAGAAACGTAACGTGAACATGTGAATGCAGTGCACACATCACACAACACACGCCTTTAGAACTGGTTCTGTATGTGATTTGTTATAATTCCTAAAATGCCATCAGCATAACTGTTCAGTGTTAATAGTGTTTTAGTCTAACCGCTACTTGTTTCGACCCTATTTCTGGGTCGTATTCAGGTGGTATAGACATTTAATATAAATCATAAAACTCTCCATTCCTTATATTGTGATAGAACAGGGGTGAATGTCGGATAGTTTTGTAGATGGCATTATAAGACTGCTGTGTATAAACACAACATGTGATCGAGAGTCCATTTGTAGTAAACTTTTAACAATACAAAATCTTAGTATGAAGTATGAAGTAAGTGATAGAATTACTTCTGAAGCATACATCCATTAAAATTTCTCAGTCTTTCTGGTGAGGTTATAAAGAACTGTGAGTGGATAATCATAAAATTCAGTGTAGTTAAACAGAAATTTTCATTAGTGCATATATAATATAATCTAGTTTTTTTATTTTTAATTTCTTGGGGTGGGGTGAGACTCAGTCTACTAATTGGCCTATTATACCAGCCCCGCATGATGATGATGAGTGTGGATGAGTCTGTGGAATGAGAATTGGCAAGGGAAACCGAAGTATTCGGAGAAAACCTGCCCCCCAGTGCCACTTTGTCCACCACAAATCCCACATGACCTGACCTGGACTCGATCCCGGGGGTCCGCAGTGGGAAGCCGGCAACTAACCGCCCGAGCTATGGCACGGCCCTATATATTCTAGTATGTAGCTATGCTGAAGACTGAGACAGCATGTTCCTCTACCGCGCTGGTAGGCACCTGCAAGGTTACATGGCATCATAACCCAGAAGAACACAATATTAACCTTCACCGGCAAGTAAACCTCATTTCAGTTAGACCACGCACCCTGTTGTTGACGCCTGCGCGTCTGTGTTTGCAGGTCATGTTGCCAAATGCCCAGTGAAGTCGCTATGATGACCATTCGACCCGGGTCATTACCCAAGAGCCCGGAATCCAATGGTTTTAACGGTTTGACCGATACCACCAACTACGAGGGCAGGAAGCCTAGGTCACGTGGTTCCAGTCCAGCCGAGAAGGGCTACAAGAAAACGACTGTAGTTCGGAATGGGGCGGATTCCAGGCGGACCCAAGGGAGTACTCCTAGCGAGAAGTTCTCAGGGACCACCACACTTCCACAGTCCAGGGACAGCGAGTAAGTACCTCTAGTTTTATTATTATTATTATTATTAGAGGGGGGTGGCTTTCCCCATGCACTTAGACCAGTTCTTGGTTCATTGTGCGTCCCCCTTTAATTTCTACTGTCTCCATATCCTACCGGTACTGGTGCGTGATATCAGCCCCGTTCAGCCAACGAGGTCGGCCCTCGGTACCTGATATTTCCCCCCTCTATCAGAGGCATTGGAAACTACTTGGGCGGAAAATGTGTTGCCTGATTTTGCTCAGAGGTCTCCTAGAGACATGAGGATCTTTTACGTGCCGTAAATCTACGACACGGGACCCAGCCTCTAGTCTTAAGGCCATCTAAAACTTTTTGTAGGATGCTATGTTGGTTATTATTAAAACACATTTCCTGTAGGTACCGTTCCATCACATTTCATGTTTTCGCTTGCTTCCTCTGGAGCATAGGGCGTCTGTGAACTTCTGTGTTTCATTTCATTTTATTAGTCTTTTGACAGTTAGTGGATCAGCCCGTCGCAAGGTCAATACCTACAGAGGGCAACATAAACAGAAAAAACGCAGAGAGACATTCATGCCTCGAGTGGGATCCGAACCCACGATTTGATTGTTTGAGAGAGCGAAGGTAGTTCATACGTTAAACCTCGAGGTACCGTTCCATTGCAACTTATAATTTCTGTTGATGAAAAGGCATGTATAAGTATGCATCATGTTCAAGACAGTGAGATACATCAATTTCGTTCTTCTGAAACACAAATGAATTCACTGTGTAAGTCAGTACTTCTAAATATGCATTTTTTTCGCTTTTCCTTGGGCCCTGGCCTCTGATTTTCAGTTTCATAATCATTTTACAGACTGTAGGACTACATGTACGAGTGATCAGCTCGTCGCAAGGCCTCTACCTAAACACAGGATAACACAAACATAGAATAAACACATACCAAACATCCATGCCTTGTGTGGGATTCGAACCCACGATCGCAGCCTCTGAGCGATCGAAGACAGTACATGCCTTAGACCGCTCGGCTACCGTGACCGGTTCTAAGACACAGATAATACATATAAAGAAAGACGTTATTTGATAAACCTCCGGCAGATATATTTATAGTAATGTTTAAAATGTGTGTTTAATTGGTGTAACAACATCGAGTGGACTAGATTTTAAATGCTGCGTATGTATCCGATCTTAGAATGAGTGCTTTCCCACTTAAAATTTTAATATTACAGTCCTACGAACCTAAGCGCCAGATTCATAACGACAATTTCATCTCGAGTACTTCGCACGAATCCGAAACTAAATTAAGAAAGCGACAACAAATGAAACCGGAAAGACAGTACGTAACCCTTGACCCTTCCTCCACAGCTCTGAGCAATGGCCAGGTCTGTCCACTGGTTTGCGGTTCTAACTAACTCCAACATCAATTAACGTAATGCATCTTGCTAAAAGCCAGACTAGCGCGGAGAAGCGTGAACGACCAGAGATTTCTTTCTTCAACTGAACCCTTGCTCTCATAGTCCTTATGTAAGATCCTCTCTGACGAGAAGACGGGGTTGTCTCTTATGAATATGCTTGTTCTTTTGTCAAGTGTACGTAATCACACATACACGTATAGCATGTTATTGAAAATTCTTACTTTTGCACTATATACAACTTCTCTTTCAGTTCAGGCTTTGCAAAGCAGATCATGTCTATATTATTTATCTTATGCTACAACGGAAGCTTAGTCACTTGAACGGTTGTAGGCTTGACCATCCCAAAGTTTAAGCCTCTGACATTTTCTGCCTGGCTTCGCCTTGCACTGCACTGCGATCAAGAAGAGGGGATTCACTAACTGTCCTGCTTATAACTTCTCGGCACGGACCACGCAGAAAACATTATTCCTCTGTTGTTGTGTACTAGTCGCTGCATGTAACGATTGGCTGTTGTGCCTACTACAATAGGGATATGAAGAGCACCATCTCCTGTGATATAACACCATGGAGTCCCGTAGGATTTCATTGAAGTTGCGCAGGAATATACTGCACAACTCTTCAGGGTATAAGAGTAAGCTAGACATGCAGCAACAAGCAAGCAGTAAGCAAAGTTCTACCCTCTACCTCTCACCGCGGCGACTATGACGAGTACTTACTTACGTCGCATAGTCTGATATAACTTTACGGACGTTTCAGAGGAACAGCTATTTCCATCTTCGGGTTCACAGAGCAACCCAACCAAGCAGTAAGAACCCGTCATTCAAAATATTATTGGCCGCTTTTCACCTCGAAACACGTTGGACAGAGTTGGCTGAACGGGTTCCAGAGCCTGTCTGAACGCGGTGGCAGGGAGGAGTAAAGGGCGTCATCAGAACTTAGTTATCGTCATTACTAACGAATTCTCTGATACACAGTACCCTGCTCTTTCCGATACTTGCAAGTGAAAACAGTGATCTGAGTTGCCGCTTGCGAATGCTGGTGTGGGAGACACTGGTATATAGTTCACAATTTTCGTGTTCAATTTCTCTTAGTTTGTCACATGCTGTAATGATAACTGTAGGATTTACGTATAATGTTGCCTTTTCTTCTTTTGAGCCTTCACTTTATCCTGACGTTGCGACCATAGATGAACCCATTAATATAGAACTGCTGTTTAATGGTGTTATTCGGTATAAGTTTGGAAGAAATCGATCGTGGCCTACTTGAAGATTCCACGTTATAAAAAAGATATGTATTTAAATTTTGATTGAGAACTGGAAGAATTTTTAACCTATTACGGATAATATAGATAAGGTAAAGGTGGCCCTGTGCTTAATTAATTAAGAATTACGCCATGAAGACGTATGGGGGAGTGGATGTATAGATCCACATTTTCTTGACCTCAACACTAGCTAGAGGTGAGTGGTCGGCTTCACGCCTCGGCCACTTTACCCACGGGGAAAGACCTCTCGGTACCCATTGGATAGGAGGTTGGGTGGACCCCAGAGCCGGTCTGGACGATATGGAAAAGTGAAAATTCTTGACCCTACCGGAACTCAACTCCGAACCCTCGGCCTTGAAGCCCGTAGCCAGTCGCTATACCGACTATGCTATCCCGGCTCCTATTACGGATATTATCCCGAATTAATTATTAATAATAATGCTGTGACGTAAGACCTAATTTGATGTACAAAGCATAATAAAAATATGGTGGGCTAATGAAAATCATCATCATCATCAGTAATCTGTCAAGACGACAGGTCCACAGTCTCTTCCAAAACAGTTCTTCAACTTAATGCGATCTAGAGCTTTCTCCTTCAAATGACAGTATCCTCTTCTGTCCCCAAGGTCATCCAGCATCTTCTTACGTCTTCTTCCTCGTCTTCTGGTCACTTCTATCCGCCCCTCTATCTTTCCTTCGATAACTTCTTTTAGAAGGCAGTTTCTGTGTAAAACATGACCAATCCAATTAGCCTTCCGTTTTCTTATTTCGTGTAGGATATTCCTCTGCTCACTGACTCTAATTAACACTTCTTCATTTCTCACATAATCGTAATGAAAATAATTGATCTAATTTTATGACAATAGAACATTTGTAAAATTGACATTATCTATCTTCCTGCTTTTATCTAAAACTCCGCCCTGTTTATATTTGAAAACATAACATTTCGGATACAGGATCAAGTCTCCGAAATTCAGTGTTTTGAAATATAAATAGGGCGGAGGTTTAGATGAAAATAGGAAGATGGCAAATACTTCTTTTGGCTTATTTTGGACTTCATCCATCGTCTGCTATGTCTGGTATGTGTCCAGTGATTGAGACTAGCTCTTTGCAACGGGCCTAACTGAGTAGGTTTATCCTTCCCTACCCACCTGAAGACGGAGACAGATCAAGTCTCCGAAACGTCGTGGTACAGTACAGTACAGTATACACCATCGTCAGAATCCTTTCAAGTCTAACCAAGATGGCTGATGTCCAGAAATATAATATCTGTACCTAAGAAGTGTTGAATTGGGGTTTTATCTCAAGAATTTTCGATTCAAGGTCACTTCGATAAAGAAGAGGAGGTAAAGGGGAGAAGATTAGAAGAAAAGAGAATTACTTGTACATTTCCTTACACGTGATAGGAACGGCTTTGTTTATTGAATGTCGGACTTGGCTGTCTTTCTGTATGCCTCACACATAACAGGCCAACAGTTATAAACGTGAAACGTCCAACAAGCGCTCAACAAACAGAATACTTGATTGTCGTGAATTATTCACTGACTCCCGAAGGAACGAGTCTTCCGAAAGCAAACAGTCGCGTACCACTGATTCATGTACACAGGAAACAACGCAGAAGTTTCGCAATGTGGCACGGCTCGTTGCAGAGCTAAATCCGATATACGACACGCCAAAGAAGGCCTAATGTATTAACGCTGAGAGTTTGAAGTTGTAAGAGTTCTTACACCTAACATATTTTCTGCCATATTTGTGTACGTGTATATGATGTCTGCTGTTATACGAGTACTTTGTTATGGATATTTAGTGATTTACTAACAACAGCATTTTCAGGACGTCGCAATTCTGCTTTTCTAGGATCGTAGTGTCCAAATAAATGAACACTGATATTTGCCGAACCAGATTAATATTGAACAGATATTAGAGTATCGAAGGTGAAATGGTTATTATGAATTGCACAGCTCTAAGCTTCATGGAGCGGGTTATCCTGTTACGCATCGCGACCTATCAGACGAACATGCATGTGAGGTACAAACAATTGATGGTCCTTACTCTCACAGGAATCTGACAGAAAAACAACAATTAAACAAACTCCGTGGCCTGTTGTCCGCAAACGAACTATACCGACCGAGCGACCGCCCGTTTTCAGCGAAGTTAGTGCCAACTGTTGCGGACATAGGGTGTCACGTGGTCAGCCCAACGAATCCCCACAGCCGTGAATCTCTGTTTTCTACACCGGAGCCTTAAAATAGCTCCTCAATTATCCTCACGAGGCTGAGTGGACCCCGTTCCAGACCCACTACTTCTTAGAAAATCTGGTAGCGCTGGAAATCGAAAGCGAG